ATAGATACTAAATTTTTCCAGCACCATTTGTTGAAAAATATGTTTTTCCCCATTGAATTGCATTTTCATCTTTGTTGAAAATCAGCTGACACATAAATGTAAGGGTATTCCTATTCTTATGCTATTACTAATGGTTCAACACTTGAGTACTAGGCAGCTAATCGAAAGACTGGCCATTTTAAACCACCCAGTGGCAATGGCTGATGCAGGACCAGTCAGTGTTTCATTCTGTTGTACATAGGGTTGTTATGAGTTGGATTTGACAGCATCTAACAACAACAGCAACAATATCAGAAAGAGAGAGAGAGATTCTGAGGAGCTCTGGTGGCATAGTGCCCAAAGCATTTAACTGCTGACCAGAATGCTGGTGGTTCAAACCCACCAGGCACTTCTTGGAAGTAAAGTTGGGCAATCTACTTCCATAGTGATACCTCCTTGGAAACCCAAGGAGGGGTCGCTATAAATCAGATCTGACTCAACAGCAGTGAGTTTTTTTTGTTTTTGTTTTATATATAGATTCTGAACATTTCTTACCTTGTTTAGAGGAAAGCAAGAAACATAAATAAAGCTGTTTTCCTTTGCTGTGGCAATTTGTTTCTTATTTCTAGCAAGTGCACAGGACTTTGCAGCATATATTTTTTTAATCCCAGCTGCTTGTTACTTGGAGATAATGTTAAGAATATGGTCTCTGAATCCTGGCTATACCACGTACTTGATAAGATCTGGAGCACGTTATTAAACTCCTCTGTGCCTGCTATACAATGGCAATGACAATGTTATCTTCCTTCCTAGTGTTTCCTTATTAGAATTTAATGAGTGAACTATATATATAAGCCATAAAAGTTAGTTATCATTATTTTTTCAGATTTTCTCCTACTTTCTAAAACTCTAGTTTTCTATTTGCCATGATTTTTCTCACTTTTATTTTTTTAAGTACATTTAGCAGTTGGGGGAGTTTGAATGTGTGAATGTGTATTTTGTTGGAAACTTAAGGAATCTCTAACCAAATGAAAGAAACAGTTAAAAGAGATACAAGTGGCAAGAACTAATCGGCCATTTTGTCGGAGCCCTACAGCTAGAATAAATGTGCTCCCACTGTTTTTCTGTCCTTGTGACCAAACCAGTTAGGATTCAGTGGCCTGCAAGAAAAGAATCTTATTGCCCTGGTATGAATCCTAGCTCAGCCCTTACTAGACCTTGTCATTGTTGCTATTGTTAAGTGCCAAAAAGTTAATTCTGACTCATAGTGACCCCATGTGCAGGGTGGAGCTGCCCCATAGTGTTTTCTTGGCTGTAATCTTTACAAAAGCAGATTGCTAGGTCTTTTTTCCATGGAGCTGCTAGGTTGGGTTTGAACCATCCACCTTTCAGTAGCAGCCAAGTGCCCCTAATCATTGTACCATCCAGGTTCTGTTTTTTGTTAGTGGTGGTAGTAGTACTCATTCTGAGTACTGTCTCAGCTATGCTGATCACAATGAGAGCTCAGCACTCCTTAATGACAGGATTTATTATAGAGAAAAAGGAGAATGGAGACTAGATGTTCCAAAACCAACAGCTATTAACTACAGCCTCAGTGTATGCATTTTGTTAACTACCTCACATATTTTTATGAACCAAAATAAATAAAAAGGCATGTATAAACAAGGTTACCAGTACTTATTTATAAAATGTATATTAGTATAGAACACAGGAGAGCTGAACTATCAGCTCAGCCTTTTCTCACTGAGTTAACCATAACTTTTTATGTCCTGATTTCATAATTTATATAGTGATAGTATAAACACTACATGACCCCTAAAGATAATTCTAGCAGTAAAATCCCAATGTCCTCTGTTTTATTTATTTAGTATAGGAAACTATATTGCTTTAACATACGCATACCATGTAGTCCAATCTTCAAACTCCAGTGATATCTGGGAATTTATATCCAACCCAGACTTCATAATAAAGCTGGACTCAGAATACTTCAATTAAAGATTGTTGTTGTATTAATTTCCATCAAGGCAAGAAACAGATGTGTTTGAAGAAAAACTAAAACTCAGTGGATGTCTAAGTTTATTAAAAAAAAAAAAAACACTAGTGATGTAATCGTTCTATAAGAGTACAAAATAATTTCAATTTAAATGTAATTAATCATAAATGTCTTCATTTTCACAGTTATTTTTATTTCTCCATGACTGAAAGGCTATTGAATATTTTTTTATTATTTTCCAGAAAAAGAAAAAAAATTGCCACCGAGTCGATTCCAATTCATAGCAACCCGGTAGGACAGAGTAGAACTGCCCCATAGGGTTTCCAAGACTGTAAATCTTTACCGAAACAGACTATTTCATCTTTCTTCTGAGTAGGGGCTGTGCTCACCACCAACCTTTTGGTTAGCAGTCTGATGCTTTAACTACTATGTCACCAGAGCTCCTGTCCTACTTACCAGAAAGGATATTTTACATTTAGGATACTTAGTAGTTTATTGGGGCTCTGGTGGTAGTGCCTAGGGCATTGGACTGCTAACTAGAAGGCTATTGTTAAACTACTAAAGAATATATAAGTTATTATGTATTCTTTGTTGTTGTTATTATGTGCCGTCAAGTCAGACCGACTCATAGCAACCCCTCCTTGGGTTTCTAGGTGGTATCACTACGGAAGTAGTTTGCCCAGTCTTCCTTTCGAGGAGTGGCTGGTGGGTTTGAACCGCCAGCCTTCTGGTTCGCAGTCAAGTGCCTTAGGCACTATGCTACCAGAGCTCCCATGTATTCTTTAGTAGTTTAATAGTAAACTAAGTACTTTAGTAGTTTAGGTATAAACTATTAGTACTTCTCACTTTTGGTTCCTGTTATCTGACTCCTTCACCTACTAGATCAGATGAGCATAACCTTACAATATACTTATGGTCACTGAAGGGTTAATTCAGGTACCTCCATAAGTATAACTGTTACATTTAATTATTGTCTTTTAAACAATATTCACTTTAGAAAACTCTCAGCCTAAGTTATATTACAAAATAATCATCAGATCTTCCTTTATTATTATGAAAGTCTACCTGCTGTTTCCTTATTTTTTAAACATTATTTACTTCAAAAAAAAAAAGTTAGCCTAAATAAGATTACCAATTAAAGACAGTAATCAGATCTTCCTTTCTTACTATGATTACATGTAAATATACTGTGTAATATGGCTATGTTTTGAGTAAACAAGTAGTAGTCACTTCAAAATGTGTGATGTTAATTGCACGTTTCTTGTCTGATAACTTTCTGAGCCATAATGCCATGATTGCTTATTTACACTGCACATTAACAGGAGACATAACATATACTGTCTGCAATTCTGACTAAAGGGCAGGATAAAGAGCAGGGACTATTAGCAGAAAGAATATTAATTTGAAGGTTTTAAACTCGAACGTAGACATGATTTCAAATAAAACCTTGAGAATTTCTAAGAAAAACTCTAGGAATTCTGATAACCATTTATGAAATTATTTTATCTTTGTCATTAACAATTATATGTTTTAGAAAATTAGGCATATATGGAGAATAATAATTAGATCTTTAGACAATTCACCAACCAAACATGCCTCTACCATGTTGTCTTTCTTAACATTCTTTCATGTGCAACAGGCATTTAATATAGGAAGAGTTAACTAGCACTCCATTATTTTTAGAAGAAATCAGAATAATTCTCAGAAGAATGAAGATGATGGAGATATATAGCATTCATTCCTTTAAGAGCTTATTTTATCCTGTACCTTCCTATGAGATAGAATCTCATAGTATCTCCATTTTATATGAGAGAACTGAGCATACAGAGTGACTTCCCCAAGGTTAAACTCAAACCCAGTGCCATCAGTCGATCCTGACTCATGGCAATGTTATAGTTAGCTAAAATGTATACAATATAACCTCATATCATCAGTTGTTTGTAATGCTGCACTTGAAACTATTTTCAGTGTTTCATTGTTGCTTGTTATTTTTTAGCTGCTTGCTGACCAGATAGTCCTGCTTGGCTAAAATTTCCTATGTATTCAGCTGAAGGAGATTGATGTTTTTAAATATATCACTGTTTATCTGGTACAATAGTTAGCTGTTAAAATTTCTCTTAAAAAAATGGAGGTAATTATTTCTGCTCTTAGGATATTGTAATAGTCAAATGAGCTTGTACTTATATCAACACTTTTGTAAATATGAGTTGCTAACTTCACACTTGAAAAACAAATATTTTCCCCAATTCTATTGCCTCTGTCTTCAGATAAAATTGTATGTGTTTTTCCATTATTTATTTTCAGTGTTTGGACTTATACACACATAACATTTATGTAGGACACTTTTTAAAAAATCATTTAATTAAGCCATATTAAAATTTATCTTTTATAACATTTTGTTGAGGTCTAAATTTCTAATACAAGGAAGAAACAAGACTTGTATGGATATTTCATTGTGGTGATAAATTAATCTTTAAAAAGATACAGTTTTGTTGAAAAATTTTATACCGTGAGTACCTGAAATGTTGTTTCAGACATATGGCATTCTGAATCTCAGTGGATTTAATTTGCCAAACAGTTACTGAGATACTGAGATATTAATAGATTTAATCAAGTCATAGAAATAAAATGTTAACTCTATATTTTTTATTTCCGATACTTCATATTAAAACTACCTTAAAATGACATCTAGATATATTTTCATGTTTAGAAACTTATTATTTCAGGATCTTATGAGTGTTTGTTTTTTTCCTTGTTAACCAAGTACTTATGGGTCACGCCCTTTGGTTACTGTAGTAATATGTCTTGGATACTGCAGTGTATTACTCCACCTCTTAGCTACAGTTAAGTTGTGGCTTTAGATATCTCATCATTTTTCACTCCTTTTTAACCATTGTATCAGTGCATATCATTTACAACATTGAGCAGCATGTTAGAGGTTTTGATTTGAGTTGAAGTAAAAAATAAATGAGAACATTATTATACATCTCCCAACACTTAAATTTTAATTGAAGTGTTAGTTGTAACCATGCAACCTCCGGTGGTAAATATGACTGACTGCTCTTTCTTCTTACGCACTTTTAAGCAAAGTAAAGCAGCGGTTCGGCTGAAAGAAGACATGAAAAAGATAGTGGCGGTGCCACTAAATGAGCAGAGGGATTCTACCTGTGTAAAGTTATTTGGAGTGAGTCTTCAAGAACTTCATCAGCACGGGCTCACTGAGAATGGTATTCCAGCTATAGTGTGGAACATAGTTGAGTACTTGACACAGCATGGTAAGTTAAGTGTGCTTTAATTATGTTTGTTTTTTTTGGTTTTACACGTGCAGAGAAATGTGTTTGTGTTAATTACTTCCTAGAATATGAGTAGAATATTCGCTAAAACATCTTATTAAAATATGAAATTATTGTGTACTACGATTTTCCCTAAAGGCCATTAGTAACATTCATTCTGCTTACCATTATTTTGAGTGTACTGATTTGATTAACCATAAAACAATGCATTAGTTATTGAGGTTTCTAGTTTGGAATAATTCATGGTTTTAGGTGCTAAAATACAAGTATTTTTCTAATATTAATGGTGAGTTCTTTGAATTAATTAAATTCCAACTGATACTCAATAATTTTTTAATACAAGAGGACATTTTTTGTGTGTTTCTTTCAGCTGAGGTCAGTCATGAATTTGGACACTGATTATTTTCATGAGCTTGATGGGGTTATCATTGAGGGTGGAACATTTACTTTAAGAATGATAAAACAAAAGGAGAGTAGTATAGTATATTTTATAATAAAGAGATAAATTATATCTACTCTGTGTCTGAATTGACTTGACAGCAACAGATTTGGCTATCTACATGACAGCTATGTAGCCTACTAAGTCATTGAGACAGACTTCCTTCCTTCCTTCCTTCCTTCCTTTTTTTTTTTTCCCTGATCTGTGAAAGGATTTAATCACCCAGTCCTTTATCTAATGGGCATTTATCTGTGTTTTTGATGATTTTTATTTTATTTAAAAATTTAATCGACATATAGCTCTTCTGTTGACCCTTGGTAAACTTCAAATAACAAGATATTAAGGCATAGTTCTACAAAGGTAGTTCTGCAAAGCAGCAGAGAAATATGATCCAAGTATGCAGCTTTTTGATCATTTTACTTAGAATAGGACTTAAAGTTTGATAATTTGAGCGAATGGCTTCATATCCCATAGATCTATACTTTTCAAACTAAGGCAATGTGATGAGAGAACTCTAAACTGTATATGTATATATTGTTTATGTATATAAACAACTTCAAAAGATTTGGGAGGCAAATATTCTCGGGGGAAAAGTTTGCAATTTTCATCATTCATATACTAAAATAAACATGGATTAATTGCAGAGTAGAATATAAATTTTGTGGGAATTTTGCAATGGAAAAACTGGAGGCTTTGAAGAAATTCTATACTTTGTGTACTTTGCTTCAGGCCCCATCTCTTCCAAGATTATAAGTCTATTCCCTCTGCCAGTAAGAATCTTTCATTGGAAATGTGTGGGAAGCACTGCCCATGTGTTCCTCTATAGCAACTTGACAGGCTATATAGAAAATAGTTTAGATCTCAGAAAGTCAGGTATTTTCTGTTGATTAAAAAAAGGGAGTTTCTATGTTTTAGTAGGGACCCTGGTGGTGCAATAGTTACAGCACTCAACTGCTAACTGAGGTCAGTGGTTTGAACCTACCAGTTGCTCTGGAGGATAAAGATATGGAAGTCTGCTCCCATGAAGATTTACAGCCTTAGAAACTTTGTGAGGCAGTTCTGCTCTGTTCTATAGTCAGAATCCACTCAATGGCAGTGGGTTTCATATTATATGCTCTAGTTACCAAGTATGTAGATGACAAAATGTTATTTTTTTCTGGAAACTGAGGAGCCAGATTTATGTGCTTACTCTGTAGGCATTATCTCCTAATTTTTGGAGGAAGATGATCTGCACAGGGGCTAGATATCTAGAGAACAACTCTGGATTTGCTCAAATGCTTTAAAGATTAAACACAAAGATGTTAATACAATAATCCAGCTCAATGAGAGCTGGGCCTATAAGATCTTGGCCAGATGTTATTCACATACACACTCAGTACTTAAAACTGTGTCCCACTGATTAAGATCGAAATGGATCTCTAGGTATTTCATTTAATGTCTTGAATAGAGTTGTTTATTATTATTCATTTGATACCAAGATTTGACCACAAAAATAATATCTTGGTTTTAGCATAATCAGTGTTCTGACCTTTTGCCCAACAATGATTGAATAATAGCCTCTTGAAGTAATTTCCATCATAAAATTGTTTCATGTTTTTAATTTCATTTTTTTAAATTATATATATATATATAGAGAGAGAGAGACAGAGAGAGAGAGAGAGAGAGAGAGAGAGAGAGAGACAAAGGGAGAGGTTATTATATTCATGTGGTTCAAAGTACTAGAGGGTACAGAGTGAAAAAAGTCTCTCTCTCCAAATCCTGTCCAATGACCATTCATTTCCCTTTCCCAGAAACAGTGTACATGCATACCTCATTTAAATATGCTTTGCTTTATTGTGGTGGTGGTGTTGTTAGGTGTCGTCGAGTCATCTCCGACTCATACCAACCCACAGAACGAAACACTGCCTAGTCCTGTGCCAGCCTGACAATCCCTGCTAAACTGGAGCCCATTGTTGCAGCTACTGTGTCAATCCATCTTGTGGAGGGCGTTCCCCTTTTTCGTTGACCCTCCATTTTACCAAGATTGATATCATTCTCCAGGAAATGGTCCCTTCTGACAACATGACCAAAGTAGGTAAGATGAAGTCTGGCAATTCTTGCTTCCAAGGAGTATTCCAGCAGCACCTCTTCCAGGACAGATTTGTTAGTTCTTTTAGCAGTCCACAGTGCTTTCAATATTTTTTGCCAACACCACAACTTAAAAGCATCAATTCTTCTTTGGTCTTCCTTATTCATTGTCCAGCTCTCACATGCATAAGAGGTGATTGAAAATACCATGGCTTAGGTTAGGCATACCTTAGTCCTCGAGGAGACATCTTTGTTCTTCATCACTTGAAAGCTGTCTTTTGCAGCAGATTTGCCCAATGCAATCATCTGATGTCTTGACTGCTGCTTCCATTGGTGTTGACTGTAGAGCCAAGTAATATGAAGTCTTTGACAACTTCAGTCTTATCTCCATTTATCGTGATGCTGCTTATTGATCCAGTTGTGATGATTTTTATTTCTTTATGTTGAGGTATAATCCATAAGGCAGACTGTAGTCTTCAATCTTCATCAGTAAGTGCTTCAAGTCATCCTCACTTTCAGCAAGCAAACTTGTGACATCTGCATATCGTAGATTGTTAATGATTCTTTCCTCAATCCTGAAGCCACATTCTTCTTTATATAGTCCAGCTTCTCAATTTATTTGCTCAGCACACAGACTAATTAAGCATGGTGAAAGGATACAACCCTGATACACTTCCTTCCTGATTTTAAACCATGTAGTATCCCCTTGTTCTGTTCAAATGACAGCCTCCAGATCTGTATACAAGTTCCTTATGAGTACAGTTAAGCGTTCTGGAATTCCCATTCTTCTCAATGTTATCCATAATTTGTTATGATCCACTCAATCAAATGCTTTTGTATAGTCAATAATTAACACAAGTAACATCTTTCTGGTATTCTTTACTTTCAGCCAAGATCCATCTGACATCAGCCATGATATCCATCATTGCACATCCTCTTCTTAATCCAGCTTGCATTTCTGGAAGTTCTTTGTCAATATACTGCTGCAACCATTTTTTAATTATCTTCAGTAAGATTTTACTTGCATGTGATATTAATGATGTTTGATAATTTTCACATTCTATGGGATTGCCTTTCTTTGGAATGGGTAGAAATATGGATTTCTTCCAGTCATTTGGCCAAGTAGCTGTCTTCCAAATCTCTTGGCATAGCCAAGTGAGTGCCTCCAGCACGGCACCCATTTGGTGAAACATCTCAGTGGGTATTCCGTCAATTCCTGGAGCCTTGTTTTTTGCCAGTTCCTTCAGTGCAGCTTCCACTTCTTCCTTCAGTACCATTGGTTCTTGATCATATGCTATCTCCTGAAATGGAGGAACATCAACCAGTTCTTTTTGGTACAGTGACTTTGTATTTCCTCCATCTTCTTTTGATGTTTCCTGCATCATTCAATATTTTGCCCATAGAATCTTTCAGTATTGCAATTCAAAGCTTAAATTTCCTCTTCAGTTTCTTCAGCTTGAGAAATTCTAAGTGTGTTCTTCCCTTTTGGTTTTCTAACTCCAGGTCTTTGCACATTTCATTATAAAAACTGACTTTGTCTTCTCAAGCTGCTCTTTGTAATCTTCTGTTCAGCTCTTTTATTGATCATTTCTTTTAATTGATCCAGTTATGAGGATATGGCAAATGCACATATCCTTTGACCCAACCAGTTCACTTCTAGAAAATTAGCCTAATAATACATTGACACATGATTTAAAAGACATGTTAAAGGTTAGTCACTGAATCACTGTATACAGAAAGAGATAGGAAACAATTCAATGCCTCTCAGTATGTGACTGCTCAAAGAAATAATATATGCTTATACAGAAGCTGTGTGTGTGGTTTCTTCCATTTGCTTTAGCTACTCTCCATTCAGTGGAAGTTTCACAGTCTCTTCTGACATCCATTTTGGTCTTTTTCTTCCTTTCCTGTCTTTTTTAATGACCTTTTGCTTTTTTCATGGATGATGTTCTTGATATCATACCACAATTCCTCTGGCTTTCAGTCACTGATGTTTAATGCACCAAATCTATTCTTTAGATGGTTTCTAAATCCAGGAGGAAGGTCATATTTTGACTCTTGTGGACTTGTTTTAATTGTCTTCGACTTCACCTTGAACATGCATATTAGCAGTTGATGGTCTGTTCCACAATCAGCTCCAGGCCTGGTTTTGGATGAAGATACCAAACTTTTCCATCACCTCTTGCCACAAGTGTAATCAGTCTGATTCCTGTGTATTCTATCTGGTGAAGTCCACATGTATAGCCACTGTTTGTGTTGTTGAAAAAGGTATTTGTGATGAATAAGTCCTTGGTCTTGTAAAATTCTATCATGCAGTCTCCACTGTTATTTCTATCACCAAGGCTATATTTTCCAACTACCAGTGATTCTTCTTTGTTTCCAACTTTTGCTTTCCAGTCACCAGTGATCATCAACACATCTTGATTGCATGTTCAGTGAATTTCAGACTGTAGAAGTTGGCAAAAACCTTCAACTT